AACATGGCACGTGGGCCCTTTTCCTCCTGGAGCATCCCTGTGTGCCCCGACTTGGCCCACTCAGGAACAAGGGATGTGCTCCAGGCCCCCAGAGGTGCTGCCTTCCTCTGCCCACAGGCAAGCCCTATGATCCCTGCAATGTCAGTCTTCAGTACAGGAAGACAGAACATGGCAGTTTCTTTCATGCCCGAGAACACAGCAGTGAGCTGCATTCTCCATGCTATCTCCAAGAAATTGACGGGTAAACTGGCCTCAGGGGGCCACAAGGTATATGGAGAGAACAGGAGCTCAAGGAGACCAGGATTTCCATCCAGACCTTGAAAAATTACCTAATCTATCTGATTCTCCAATTACTTGCCTATGAAATAGGGATCTTTGTAGGGTTATGGTGTTTAAACTGAGGCTATGCAGGTAAAACATCTGGCATCTTATCTTGCATATAGGTGGTACCCAGAGACTATTAATTTACCTCCCAGCCCAGTGATCCCATCATTCCTTTTCAGACTTGTCATGGCCTGAGCAAGAGCATCCTGTAGATTGGGGTAAACAATATTCTTTCCTTCAACCAATGTTTACAAAATGTGCCTATATGCTTAGCATCATGGAACATTGACTTCACTTAAAGATTTTTTAAAATATTATTTTAATATTATTTTATTATTTCAAGACAAATCTTATGGAGAAGAATACAAAATTTACATTAACTTCAAAGAAAAATATGAGTCTTTTGCTCATGACTGACTTCCCAGGAATCCTGCACCCCAACTGGAAGATGCTAAGATGCCCAAGGACATGACCTCAGGTCCAATTCACACAGATCTCCACCTTTTCCTATAGTGAGTCATGAACCAGAAGTGACATGGTCTCCTCCTAGCAAATCAGGGTGGAAGAACATTGGTCCAGGATAAACCAGTCAACTACACAGTGAGCACGAGGGCTATCTCCAAGCCTTGCTTGCACGTTCTGCCTTTCTGAGTTGCAAGTCATCTTGTGGCCGACTCTTCCAAAATTACCTCACCTCCAATTCTTAGGAAAACACACTCCTATTTCTAGGAAATCTGCTCTATGTCAAATCTGGGATGTTTAGCCAGGTCAAAGTTGTTTTCCTTACTCTCTCTCCATTGTAGCCTCCTGCCACTTCTGGGGTCACCTTTCAAAGTCAGATTCTGAGATGCGAACTAGAGATGATCCCATCCATTTACCTTTGCTGCCTGGGCCTTACTGGACTCAGATCTGTGGGCTCCTCTAAGCACAGGTCGACCTGGGCTGAGAACCAGATCTCCTATGTTCATTTTCTCATAAGAAAAATGAATCAATCACCATATTAGCTAATTTCAGTATTTGATATATAACAGAAAAATGGTAGCAGTGACCATCTCTGAATGGTGGGAATATAAGTGGTTTATATTTCCCTCATTTTGCTTACCTGTATTTTCTCATTTTAAACAATGAGCATGTATTATTTGTGTATAGACAATGAAAAAAAAATGTAAATGCTAACATTCCTCTCATTTAGCTGTTTCCTGATGATTTTACATTTTGAATTCAAGCTCAATATTCAAAGCAGAAGGTCACAGAATGTGTTTCATAGGATAAAAGACTAGAAATCCAATAGCCCCTTTATCCAGCTGAACCAAATTTCAGTTTAGACTTAGATTTACAAGATCAAATTAAACTGCTTTTGAGGTAGAGTTATTTATCCAATGTATTTGGCATATGGTTAAGGTTATCTTCTTATGAATCAAAATCACAACAAAACTAAGAAACTGCTGGTGAGGTAATGGAAAACAAAATTCAAAGCCATGGCCTTGGGAGATCATATTATTCTCCAAAACACCTTAGAAACCCGAGTAGGTGACATCAGACATGAAACTGTACTCATAATTCATTCAATAAATATTTGCATATTTGCCATTCCAGCCACCATCGTAGGCATTGGGGATACAGCAGCAAACAAAACAAGCAAAAATTCCTGTCCGCATGAATCCTGTATTCCAGTCAGAATACAAGGGAGACAGAAGATTCCCATGCAGCAATCCAATCCTTAGCATAGTATTAATCAAGCTGCTGCTGTTTTGACTGTCATCCTGCCACTTTTCTTAGAGAAGAACTTTCTAATAATGCCCTTCTAAAACTAGTGATTGGGTCGACTATTTCTTTTTCTTTTCTTTTTTAAATATATTTTATTGGTTTTTTTACAGAGAGGAAGAGAGAGGGATAGAGAGGCAGAAACATGGATGAGAGAGAAACATCAATCAGCTGCCTCCTGCACACCCCCTACTGGGGATGTGCCCGCAGCCAAGGTACATGCCCCTGACTGGAATCGAACCTGGGACCCTTCAGTCCGCAGGCCGACGCTCTATCCACTGAGCCAAACCGGTTAGGGTGGGTCGACTATTTCTTGACATAACCCTGCCAGAAGTGGGACAGAATGGATGGCAGTACTTGTAGAACTGGAGAGCTACCTAGCCACGACCTTCTTGCAGCAATGATCCTAAGGACTCAGTTGATACAAAATGGTCCAGATGTTCCCATAGGAAGAAGCTGAAGTGCCCCCGATCATTAATAGAGACCTGAGCTGGAAGACTGGGAGACCAGGAACTGTCATGGTAGGCGATGGGATACGCAGACATAGAAATAGGACTGATTTAGGGAGACACAGATTTTAGCTCCATGTGAGGGAAAACATTTCAACAGCCAGAGCTGCCCCACAACGGAATGGGTTGAGGGAAAGGCAGTTTTCAGGCTCAAGGGGGTGGATGACCAGCCCAGCTCTGCCACTTACTGGTTATGTGACGTTGGGCTAGTCCCATAACCACTATGGGCCTCAGTTCCCCTGCCTGTAAAATGGGAATTATAATGGTACCTTATATATGGTACTTTTATAAATAGTATCTTATAAATAGGATTGTGGTGATTGTTAAATAAGAGAAAGCATGTACAGTGTCAGGGTACTTAAAGTGCCTCACCCAGAGTAACTTAGACACTGAAAAGCTATCTAGATCAGATGATAAAGTTAAGAACTTATCTTCTATGTTGTTTTTATAGTGGATTTGTTTTGACTTGATATCAAAACAATATTACATACAGTCATATTTGGCAAGAAGATTCAAATTGGTAGTTGAGATCTTAACATCACAAAAATCTGTGGCTATGGCAGGGATAGAACCTACAGTTCTATGAGGAACCCTCTGAACGATGCTACCACATTTCTGATATGACTGTGGTCCAGGCCCAATACATTATCCCTGGCTGATTTGGACACATCATGATCTTGGTCCTCCCTGGAGGTGCACCAGGGTACTGGGAGCAGGCCAGCACCAGTGTTTACTTGAATCACAGAATCGCTAAGGCAGGAGCACCATTACCCTATACACATACCCAGAAGGGCTACTCTGGCGGTAACCTGGGGTTTAAAATAGGATGTCCCCAGAGAAGCTGTGCTTAATGCCACAAACTCCCAAGGGCTCATTACTGACCAGGGCAGCAGTGCCAGTCTCAGCCCCACTCTGGGATACCCAGGGCTGGTAGACTCAGATGGCAGCATGGGACAGGCCTCCGGAGGCACAGGCCGGGCTGGAGAGCCAAGCCATAGTTCAGTGGGACAAGGGCAGCCCAAGATGGAATCCCAACCTACTCATAATCCCTCTCGTGGTTCCAGGTGTGGGGGGCCTATCCAGACAGGTTTCCTCTTCCACCCCAGTGAGGGCATCGCAGGAACAGCTGCACAGCCCCAGGTGAACTGCTTTATAGCCCAGCCCCACCTCCTGGCCCTGGCTGTTGGTAATGGCCCAAGGGTAGGAGGGGCAAGCAGCCAATCCATTTATGTGTGCCCAGCAGGCCTTCTGGCAGCTGCCATCCCCACATCAGATGCCTTAGGGTCAGAGGTCAGTCTTTAACTGTGGAGCCAGTGTCCAGCACTCAAGTTCCTACCATCACCCCCTCATGCCAGCCAGCTTTTCACGCATGCCTAGACCTGTCTGAACTCCTAGCAGGTACAGAACTCAGGCTTATTTCCCCCTACTCTCCTTATACCCACTACTTAGAAATCAAAATCCCAAACAATAATATCTTGTATGTGTGTGGTGTTTAGCACTTTTCCATTTACTTTTCATATCCTGCATGTATTGGTTAGAAATTTTAGTTGTAAGCAAAAGTAACTAACTTTGGCTGATGTGCACAGCAAAGGACATAAATTAAAAGATAGTGAGTAACTCACAATATCTCCAGGAAGGTAGAAAACCAGGTTTGGAAGCACACAATCAAGAACAATGTCCCAAACTCCAACTCAGCAGTAGTCTTAGAAGACATCGTTGTGACCACTGAGTCTGGCCTACCCTCCCTGCCACCTACACCACAGACACCTTCTGAGGGATGCTGTCCATTGAACTCTCACTGGAAACTGAGAAGATACCCATCAAAGCACTAAAAGGGGTGCAAAGCAGACCCTCCTTTTTTGCTGTCACTGGCTTCCAATTCAAAATTGGTGAGGAGTGGCATCGGGGAGAGAGAGAGCTTGTTGGACTGGAGGAGCCTGAGGCTCAGGCTGATGACCAGGTCCTAGCTGCAAAGGAATGGTTCCACCTCATGAGACACGGGATCCCTCAAGCACATGAAGGAGGCTCAGCTGCCAGGCAACCAAAATGAGTGACAAATGTCCAACTTCATCTCATTTGATTATCACGCCAGCATGTGAAGTTGTCAGACTGACTCTATTGTCCCCATCTTAGACAGCAGGAGTGGGACCAGGGCAGCCTCTCTACCAACATTGAAGAAAAAAAAGATAGGGAGAAGAGCAAAGTCTTGTTTTCAGGTTTTAAAAGATCAACTATAGAAATGTGGGATGAGAGGAAGTAGGTTTGGCTGCAGGTCCACATAAAGGTCTTAGAATTTCAGCTGACTTTAAATTTCATATGAACCCAGCTGAAGAGGCTGCTGATGTGGCCAGTGCAGACTTGTGTGTGGGACAGTGTCTTTGCCACCGGGCCTGCCAGACTTACCTGGAGTTGACCATTCTAGTCATCTATTTGCAGAGATGAGCAGCAAAGGTAGGGAGGTTCTGTAACATCTGGTATGTGGGCTCTGCTGCTTCAGAGGGCAGGAACGGGGCCACATGGGAGCCACGACGACCAGAAGCTAGTTCAATACCTGTAGAGCAGGCCCAAAACAAGACAAGCTTCCATGAGATGGTGAGGTCCTCACTGCCAGGCTATGCAAGCAGAGGCTAGAAAGCCATCTATCAGAATTTCCACTAAACTAGATGATGAATGCAGGCCCTTCCAACTCTAAGATGTTATAAACCTCCAATGTGCGCTATAGACATTGGGCATGATCTACAAGGTAGGGCAATGGCCCTCCAAGAGCCTCCTGAGGACCTACTGAACTAACCAGTGACAAAAGAAGAAAGCAAAAAAGTGTGCATTCTTAATAGACATAAATTATAAATAAAAGGAAGGATCATGTTATACTCTGCATTAGCCAAAACTGAAAGTAATATCTAACGCTGGAGAGACTGTGATGAAGCAGGGACATTCATGCTGGCAACTGGGCAAAATGGGTACCGCCCTTTTTGAAATCAATATGGCAGATGGTATAAAAACACCAAAACCATGTTTAACCCTTTAACTCAATAACTGTTCATTTGGGAATTTACCTTAAAGAATAATTTGTAATGGGTAATTGCTATAAACTTGGAGTATTTCATTACATTATTTTAAGTAATAAAAAGTCTTAACTAGGGGCGAGGTTAAATATAGTGTGATATTTGATGGAATATTAGGCAACCATTACAGATTGCATTTATAAAGAATCTCTGTTCCTCGAGGGCAAGTTCTGTGTCCCCGTTTACCACTATAGACCTAGTACTGTCTGGAACATAGAAATGCCTCATTAAATATTCATTGACTAGCCAAAACCAGTTTGGCTCAGTGGATAGAGCGTCGGCCTGCGGACTCAAGGGTCCCGGGTTCGATTCTGGTCAAGGGCATGTACCTGGGTTGCGGGCACATCCCCAGTAGGAGATGTGCAGGAGGCAGCTGGTCGATGTTTCTCTCTCATCGATGTTTCTAACTCTCTATCTCTCTCCCTTCCTCTCTGTAAAAAATCAATAAAATATATTTTTAAAAAAATATTCATTGACTAAATGAGTGAATGAGCAACTGAACAAATGAATTCAATCTTAGCAAGGGAAAATGCTTATAACATGTAATGTTAGAAAAATAAAAGCAGAACTCAAAATTATATCTACTCTATGATTTCCATAATGTGAAAGGTTATATACACATGTGTCCTACATGAGGACTGTAATGCAGAAAAATAAAAAATAAATGTTAGGGTCACATACTATGGATTATGTGTTATTCTTATTCATTCAACATGTTTCACTGAGCACCTGCTATGTATAGGTGCTATGCCACATTCTGTGAGTACAGCAGTAAACAAAATAGACAAAATATCTACCCTAATGGAGAGTTTATTCTAGTGGATTACTGGAGGAGTGATAGTAGGGGAGAGACAGACCATAAACAGATAAGAGAATATATAAAATATCAGATGATAATACTGGAGGGTAGCGAGTGCTAGGAGAGGAAAAGCTGCCATTTAAAAATTTTTTAAATTTTTATTTATTTTTTAAAGTATGTTACTATTTACGTATTTATTTATTTATCTATATTTGTATTTTTTAATTGATTTGAGAGAGAGAAGCATTGATCACACCAGGGATCAAACCCGCAATGTGGGTATGTGCCCTGACCAGGAATCGAACCAGTGACCTTTCAGTGTATGGGGCAATGCTCCAACAAACTGAACCACACTGGCCAGGGCAAGGCTGCCATTTTATATGGAATATCCATGAGGATATCTAGGGAAAGAGCTTCAAAGCAGAGGGAACAGCAAGTGCAAAGGCCCTGAGGCTAGAGTGTACTTGAGGCAATCAAGGAACACCATGGAGGGTCAATGTGCTGCAGCAGAGGGAACCTACGGGATGAGGCAGAGAGGCTACAGGAGTCCGTGTATATGACCCTATAGGGCCCAGTGGTTCTCAACCTTCCTAATGCCGCGACCCTTTAATACAGCTCCTCATGTTATGGTGACCCCCAACCAAAAAATTATTATTATTATTTTTTTAAAATATATTTTATTGATTTT